TGATTCCTCAGGGACCTAGAAATAGAAATTCCATTTGACCCAGCAATCCCATTACTGGGTATATATCCAAAGGATTATAAATTGTTCTACTATAAGACACATGCACACAAATATTCATTGCAGCACGGTTTACAATAGCAAAGATTTGGAACCAACCCAAATGCCCATCGATGATAGACTGGACAGGGAAAATATGGCATATATACACCATGGAATATTATGCAGTTATCAAAAACGATGAGTTCGTGTCCTTTGCAGGGACATGGAGGAAACTGGAAACCATCATTCTCAGCAAACTGACACAAGAACAGAAAATCAAACACCGCATGTTCTCACTCATAGGCAGGCGTTGAACAATGAGAACACGTAGACACAGGGAGGGGAGCACTATACACTGGGGTCTGTTGGGGAGATATAGGGGAGGGACAGCAGGGCGTGTGGAGTTGGGGAGAGATAGCATGGGGAGAAATGCCAGATATAGATGATGGGGAGGAAGGCAGCACATCACACTGCCACGTGTGTACCTATGCAACAATCTTGCATGTTCTTCACATGTACCCCAAAACCTAAAATGCCATTTAAAAAAAACTAAGTCGTATTCACTGCTTGGCATGTAGCTCTATCCACAATGTAGGTGCACAGCAAACTTTGGACGGCAGCTCTTGCAAAAAAAAAAAAAAAAATGGTCCTCTCGTGTATAGGTAAAAACTTTATCATAATCTGGATTATTTTCCAGACTTATTTTAATTCAGAAAAATTTCCTGACTTGCTTCAAGGAAGATTTCTAAAAAAGGTTTCTATGTGGTTTACAGGTCTTGTGAAGGATAAATTTTTTAAAACATTAGGGATGAAAAGATATATTTCATGAAAAAAACATATTCCGTGTAAATATATTCTCTCAAAGCTAATTATAATAAGCAGTAACACATTCACAGAAATACTGCAATATTTAAAGCAAACTGAGCAAAAGAGGATGACATTGTTTCAAAAACTGTTTCCAAAAGTCAACTGTCTTACATAGGTCCATCAGTCTTAGGGCATTCCCTTTCTGGGTCAACACTGCTTTTTGCTGTAAGTTGTGGATAGACATCAAAGTAGGTTAAGTGACAGAGAAGACAGCAGACTTGGTAGCTTTTGAAAAAGTTGTGATTTAATAACAGGATCTTTGACAAGATCCGGATAAGAGAAACCTTTATGTTCATTTATAATACAGAAGATAGCAAAGATAGATTTAGGAAACAAAAACTGTTGGTGGAATATCTGACACTCCAGGAAGTCTTTTGGAGCTTCAAGGTACAATTTGAAACCCCATCATCTGGCAACATCTCAGTTGATTAGAGCTGACTCTTGCTAATGAAGTGCTAATGGGATATCAAAACAGGCCAGAAGATCTGGACACTTGCCCTTGGTTAGATATGGTAAGTTTCCCTTTTCTTGGAGAGTTTTCTATAGAATTTCTGTTTCTGTCTCTAGTTGCCTGCTGATATACAGATGCACGCAGTTAGTCATCTCTGCATGAATTTACACAACCAACTTCTCACAACACCTGATGAAATCAGATAGAGGAAACGAGGCTTGATTTATCAATAGGACCTGATTAAAAATTGCGCTTTCCTTGGTTTTCACCACAAAAACATCTTTCCTGTGTGCCAAATCTGTTTAGGTTTATATGATTAAAGCATTTAAATCAATCAATGCTTAGATTAGTTTGACTTTCACATATGTAGCATTCTCCTTGATCTGAAAAGGACTAATTTGGTCCTTTCAGAATGCAGCTCTCAAGAGTGCTACTTTCCTAGACTTTATCCCAGAATAAAGATGCCTGATGCTGACCTTTAACCTCCAAGTGAGGTCGGTGAAAGCAAAAATACATCAGATTTATCCATTATCCCCAAACAACACTAACTTCCTAACTTATACTATAGATCACACCAGAAATATTTCTGTACCTGCCAGGTGGTCCAGCTGTGCTTTTACCACTAGTCTCAGGAAACAAGGAACAGCATTGGCTAAGCAGTCCTCAAAGCTTTATTTTACAGAAATACAAAAGCCTGCTTAGGGTACTTTATAATCATCTTAGGGACATTGATCTATAATTTTTTCCCAATTCTGAAAACTTATGAGATTTCATATTTGTCTGTAATGTGTAGAATGCTATGCAGGTTGCCATGAAGGTTGTAAAATGCATAAATTACTGATTACTTACAGGATAAGCTTTATATGTTGGCAAAATCTGAAGGTCTCAAAGCCTTACAACCCCACCAAAGCCAGCTTTACCTACTATCTGATACATAAACTTTCTCTATAGCGTTTCATAACATTAGCATTGATAATTAGTATTAAAATGTGAATATTTTAGAAATATTTAGAAAAATATTTAGAAAAGAAAACACCTTCATATTTCTAAGTGAGGTACTCATTATTATGAAAGAAATAAATCTGCACATTCTACACATGTACCTCAGAACTTAAAGTATAATAATAATAAAAGAAATAATTCTCTCCTACACACAAAATTATTTTGGAGTAAGGTGATTCAAAGACATTAGGAAGGTACTGAGAAACCATACAGATAGTTGGAAAAATTTCATGGTATGGGTAAGATCTACAACTAGATTAGGAGGCTGTGACATAAAAACATAAAAATATGTTAGTTTCCTAATTATGGGGGCTAATCCTGGCACCTGTGCTTAAGAGCTAACAGTCACATTGAGAAGGTAACATGTAAAACCCTAAATCTGCATATGGCAGAGTATACGAACTAAGATAATAAGAAGAGAGAGCAAAATAAAGAAGGAAAGATCAGATGGAATTCTCTAACTTCAAGTGACAAAATCCCCAATCAAACTGGCTTGAAAAAATGTAAAAGCAGTGGAATATACTGGCTCACATAACTAAGAGTACTGGCTAGATCTGGTACCAAAAATATCAATCATCTATATTTCTCAGTCACTTATATTTACCATGCTAAATATTAGCTATTTATTCTAGGCTAGGCTTTTCCCTGTGGACAGGCACATGCCACCGTCAGCTACCAGTGTAGCAACACCAGCAGATGAAGAGTACTCTCTGAAGAGTTCTAGCAGAGGTTGGCCAACTGGCCTAGTGTGTTGTGTATCCATCCTGTGCTACACACTATGATTGGCACCAAGAGTGGAGACTGTCCCTCCCAGGCAACATGGGCTGAGAATGGTGAAGGGATCTGTTACTTTAAATGTGAAATCGATGCAGAGAAGGCAGAAATAACAAACTCCAGATCACTTCCCCCTCTTTTTTTTTAATTTATTTATTTTACTTTAGGTGCATTATATATATGGCATTTCTCCCCCCCATGTTATCCCTCCCCATCCTCCCCTCCCTCCCCACCCCCTGCTGTCTCTCCCCTACCCCTCTTGAGAATGCTTCCCTGGCAGGTAAGAGGAGTATTTTTCCTGAGCTCTGCTTTCATGGGCCGTCTCAGCCTGGGGCCACCAAACCATATTTTAAGCTGAAGAGTTATACAGTCATTATAGCTCCCCACTGTGTCTTATTTTCGGAATTACTACAAATGCAGCTCTTGGAGGACTTTGTCCTCAGTGTGGGGAAGCTTATCACCACCTTAAAATTCTCCTCTGAGCTTTAAGCCTAAGATGTTTTTTGTAAATAGACATTTGATGCACTTTATTGAGGCAACACCACACATATTCAATGAGGCCCTGAAAAGGCACCCAGTGTGAAATAAAAGATGAGACAAATCAAAAATAAAAATAGATGGCTTGAAATAGAATTCATGGCTTCAGATAATCTATAAAACTGTTCATCTGTTTTCAATGCAAAGCACACAGCTACATTTACTCAAAAGTTGAAACAGAAAAAGGAGGGAGAAAGTTTCACTCATTAGAAAAGACGCAATTATAATTTTATTTGCATACGCGGTCACGCGTGTGTGTGTGTGTGTGTGTGTGTGTGTGTGTGTGTGTGTGTAGAAAATATCAGTTGTTTTCTAATAGATTTTTTACTTTTTGTTTCTCTTCTCAGTGGTAGTGAAAACCTGTTTTGTGAGTGTCCAAGGCTGTATTCAGGCAAGCTGTGCCAGTTTGCAAGTTGTGAAAATAACCCATGTGGAAATGGTGCCACCTGTGTTCCAAAATCCGGAACAGATATTGTCTGCCTCTGCCCATATGGGAGGTCTGGACCCCTCTGCACTGATGGTAAGAGCATTTGATTATTAAACATGGAGCACAGATAGAAAGAGATGAAGACAATAGAAATCACTCAGAGGAAACAAGGCCAGCACTTGACTGATCAAATACATCAGATCCTTTTCTGGGTTCTTTTCAAGTTATTTGAGACAAGACATATTAGTGAGACTGATCACTGAGGAGGTATTTCTCATACCCATCAAGTTTACGAAAGTGGTGGTGTGGTGACTCATGCCTATAATCCCAGCACTTTGGGAGGCCAAGCAGGGCAGATTATGATGTCAGGGGTTCAAGATCAGCCTAACCAGCATGGTGAAACCTCATCTCTAGTAAAACTACAAAAATTATCCAGGCAAGGTGGTGCACACCTGTAATACCAGCTACTCAGGGGACAAAGGCAAGAGAATTATTTGAACCCAGGAGATGGAGGTTTCAGTGAGCCAAGATCGTACCACTGTACTCCAGCCTAGGAAACAGAGCAAGACTCAGTCTCAATTAATAAATAAATAAACAAATAAATAAAGCGGTAATGAGTTTTCTTGAGGTTAGAGTATGGAAAATCTCTGTATTATAAAATCTCAAAGTCAAGCAAAGTATAAGAGAGTAACAAGGGGAATCTAGAGCAATATATAAAATCAAATTATTTCACGTCATTTTGGCAAACTGAGAGTACAATATTAACAAATCTATGCATCATAGCCCAGCCGCCTTAAATGTCACAAAACCGATGATGCAGTTAATACATACCAATAAAGTAAATCACAAACAATAGACATGCATCTCTCTTTAGGAAAATTCAGTATGAGAAATCCTAAATTACAAAAAGCTGTAAGATGCTGTAATATAAGATAGTTTTAAGAAAAAAAATTGCCTAAGAATTTAATAGTAGCTTTGACATATATAAATGTGTGTAGATATTTTCAGAAATAATAAAAATTGATACTAATAGTTAATCAACACAGAACTAGACTTGCTTTATCATTATTTTCACCATAAAAATAAAAACATTTACTCCTTTGGCACTCATGATATTTGGCATCAAATTTTAGAATAAGGCTACCAAAGTGCACTCAGGGCCCTCTGCCCCAGAACCACAAAATGAAGCAAACAGATCCAGCCCATGATGACATTAAAAAGCTGGGCACCACATCCTGATGTGGCAAGTATGAAAACTGAAACCAAAGTAAAAGAAGCATCTGTGATTAAAAGGTATTGACGTTTTGATACATAGGTCTTTGAAAGGAATTGAGACAATGAATTTGTATGTATCTTAAGCGGGGAAGAATTAAGAAGTACTAAGAATTTCATTCTGTGTGTAGCAGGATTATATTAGAAGTTATTCTTATAAAAATAAAAAACATTATAGACTGAATAGAATTGAAGCCACGTCTTTTCCCCTAGAAACCTCGTGCTTCTCAGATGTAATCATTCTATTTAAATAAAAGCTATTGAAAAAATATAATTGGTTATAATAAATTTGGTTACTAAGAGATAATCATCAGTTTTGCTTCCTACTTGAAAATAATACTGACCATATAAAATAAGAAGTGAAGTTTTAGAAGAATGTCTTAATGTATTCACACATAAGAAATGATTATTTACTCCCATCTCCTGGTATCATTAGGGTTCCAAAGATGCAAGGATGTATAGATTAAGAGGAGAGGCAGAAAAAATTAGACATTATTAGGTTCTTTGCCTCAATGTAAGAAAAAAAAATCCTAAATGCACCCATCCGGAAGAATTTCTCAAAATAATTATCCTATCCATTTATATTCCACAAAGTTGCCAGATCTAGTTTAGAAATATAAAATGTGTCAGGAAAGATTTCTGACCTTATAGAGCCTATCTTCTAATTGAAAAGATGAAAAGAAAAGAAAAATGGCTCAAAACACAATACTAAATTTCTACGAAGAATTATGAAAGAAATAAACAAGTAGTGATAGACAGTAACTAGGATGGAGGGCATTTTAACAGATCACCAAAACAAGAATGGCTCTCAGAGGAGAAGATACTTGTACTGAGGCCAAAAGAATAAGAAGTATGGACCATGAAAAGCAGGAAAAGGAACTATCCAGGCAGAAGGTTCAGCAGTGGAAGACGCTGAGGAAAGACAGAAGCTGGGCTTTTCAGAGAATGAAAAGATACTACTGTGGCTGGTGCATAAGTGTCTTCATTCACTCCAGCTGCTGTAGTGGAATACCATAGACTGCGGGACTTACAAACAACAGAAACACATTTCTCACTGCTCTGGAGGCTGGAAAGTTCAAGATCAAAGCACCAGTGGACTTGTTCTAGTGGGGACTGCTTCCGGCAGCAGTCTCACTATGTCCTCACATGGAAGGGACTAATTAGCTCTCTGAAGTTTCTTTTATAAAGGCGCTAATCCCATCCATGAAATCTTTGCCCCCTGATCTGATCGCCTCCCAAAGACCGCATTTCCAAATACCATCACATTGGCAGTTAGGTTTTAACATATGAATCTAGGGTCACATAATTATTCAGTCTATAGCAACAGTGAACAAGAAAAGGTAAATCTAATGTTAGCAGGGTCTAGATCATATAGAGCCTTGGGAACATGGAAAGGTTTTTGACCTTTATTTCCAGATGCCTTAGGAAACCATTGGAAGGCTTGGAACAGGCTAGTGACTTATGTGTATTTATTTAAACTATTCTGATGGTATTATCTCTAACAGATTTTATAAGGCTATTGGAGTGGTCCCAACAAAAGACAATTATGCCTAGGACAAGGGCGATGGTAGTAGGGATGAAGATAGATGGATACATTTGAAATCTGTTCTGGAGATATAATACTCAGAACTTGCCGGGAAGGTTGTGAAAAAGGTAGAACCAAGAAGTACATCAAGTTTTCTTTGTCTGAACTATAGTGTAGATGGTGGTGCCATGAAAAAGAATAGGGGTATAACAGCTTATTTTGTCAGAAACACCTTATTTTATTTTATTGGGAGGTAAATAAGAGTTTTATTGTATACAAATGAAGAAAAAGATGCCAGTTAGACCTCCAAACGGAGACGATATGTAGGCAACTGGATATATGATGCTGGTGCTCTGAAGCAAGATCAGGACTAAACATATAATTGGGGAAGGCATTAAAATAAAGGTGGTGTTTAAAACCATAGAACTGTAGATTGTCTAAGGAGAAAATAAAGATAAGAAGAGAAATATTGATAAAGAAGAGAAAATATAGATAAAGATTATTTTAAAAGAGCAGATAAATCCTAGAGGAACCTTCCAAAATTCCAATATTTAGATACCTGGTAAAGGAGAGAAAACTGTAATAAATGCCAGCCCCATATTCTGACAAACACCCCCCTTTCATCTCTCAGTTCATAGATACTGCTCCTTTTATGATGTGGCATTATCTTAGTCTGGGATCCCCATAGGAAAACAACCTGGATGAGAACTGCATTCAGGTCGTTTACTCTGGAAATGATTCCAGGAAATAGGAGTGAAGATCTAGTGAGAATAAAATGAGGAAGGAGAGAAAGTCAGTGCAAAGGCACATGGGACATTGAACATCACTGTAGGTAGTTGTGCGTGACTTCACTCAGATCTCATGAGGAGATATACAAAAAGTCTCAAAATTGGCTGCCCAAGGGGCAAAAGAGAGAAACATTCGACCATTGTCTCGGGTTCTTTTTGATTGAGGGTTTCCCTACGAGACATTAATATTCTCACACTTCTAGATTGCCATGCAAGACTGATGAGAGTGCAGGCTTTAGCAGGCATCTTAGGTGACAGCATCAGAAAAGCTGGAAGTTACAGAAAGAGGGCTTAACATACCAATATTCCATTACATATCAATATTCAATACATTTGAGTTAAAAAATCTCCCCTCGAGTGTTAGATCTCTCCAGAAACCTTTTTTACATCAATAGGCATCAATACTTTCTCTACTCCACTACCTACTAGGAGGTGGTATCCCAAGCTATCTATTGGATCCTTCACTGTTACTATTACGACCTCTAGAAGATTGTCTAGAACGTACTGAATATATATTTTATAGAGAAAAGCAAAGAGCAATCCAATAACCCTATCTGTTGCTTAATTACAACTATTCTTTAGAAGAGGCACAGAATAACATCTGGGACTTTGCCTTTCTGCTAATACCAGAGGATGAAAAATCAACTAGTTTTATTTCATTAGCAATTGTGTCTACTACATAGCAGTTTTCTTCCAAATTATGTCCATATCTACCATCTTAATATATTCTTTGGGGGCTAATAGAAAATATAATTATCACATTTCCTACCTTGGTGATATTTCCACTGGGGAATTCATCCAGGAGCCATCGCAGCAGTGATGACTGGAGCCGACGCAAACAAACACTGCAGATGGGAAGCTTGCAGCTGCTTTCCTTTTTAAAGAGCTTTGCTTTCCACATTTGTGCTCCTCATCCACACTTCCTGTTGCCTCTCCTTATGCCAGAATAATCTCTTTTTTTTTTTTCCTGGTGGCAGTAGGATTTATTAGAATGTGCTCTTAATATATAAAGCCCAGCCCAGGTCTTTTTGTTTTCTTAACCATGCCATTCTAAAGACAAAGGTGGAATATGTTTTCTTATCTCTTGTTCTCTTTTGTCCTTTCTATAAATATTTCTTAATACTTTACCTTATCTCCCCAACTTAGGCCTCTCAATGGAACATGGTCCTTGAGGAAAGCAATGTAACTAACTGCAAATAGGCTCTGAAATCAATCTGCCTGGATTAAAATCCCCATTTTACTACCGACTAGTTGGCTGAGTGACCTTGGGCAAGTCACTTGGTCTCTCTGTACTTCAATTTCAACAAGTCTAATAATAGAACTGACCTTGTAGATTTTATGAGAATTAGATGAGATAGTACATGTAAAGTGGTTAACACATAATGGGCATATAGAAAATGCTTTTGTTTTTTAAGGGTGGTCAAAGTAGGATTCTTAGCCTTACAGAAAACTGCTATATTTTGTCATTGTGGGACAAAAGACTGCATCTCCATCCCAGCTAAATAAAT